ATAGGTTGATGAGATAACCGAGTGTCTTGAAGATCCCTTGAGTTGAGTGGGTGGGTGCTGTACCCAGCTTTTTATACAAAAGGGTTCATGTTGCATAATTACCCCTGTTAATGGTATGTACAGTCTAGTGTTGTACAGTTGGTTATACACAGCTTCATTTACGTCAACAACCACCTTCAAACCCCTCTATCCAAAGCCTCTTCCACCCATCCTCCCAGTCCCCTCCTAACCTCTTCAACATATCCCTCCTCTCCCCCTTCCCACCCCTCCTCACTCCTCACCACAGCCTCCTCCAGCAACTCCGCCACCCTCCCCTCAGAAATCTTGTCAACCCCATCAACCCCAATCCTCTCGCTGAGCTCCCTCCCCCAAAAATCAGCCACCTCCTCCGTTCCCCTCAACCCCGGCCCTTCCCCGGCGGTGATGTGCGCAACAACCTCCCTCACACACGTCACCGTCTTCCCCTCAATCCCACAAGCCACAATCCTCCTCCACGGATTCTCCCTCTCGCTCAGCACCTCATCCGTCCCGGGCATGTCAACATTGATCGCGGTCCCCAACCCGCTGACATGTCGCCTCAGGTGAACCCCCAACGCAGCAATCTTCCTTTCTTCTTCACCATCCCCCACTCTCGTCCACACCCCCGGGTCTTCAGTGGTGAAAGCCCTGATGCGAAACATCTTCTCCAGCGTGGCGATGGTGGTGTTTTCCAACAGTCGGGAGTAACACCTGACGGTAAAAGTCTTGTGGCGCTTGGAGTGGATGTCCAGTACCGGCCAGAGGACTACCTGTCCCGGGCCGTGGTAGGTCGTCAGCCCTCCTCTGGGGGAGTGGGAGGTTGTTACTGGGAGGGTTTGGTTCTGGTAGGATAGTGGCCGGGATAGCCGGGTGAGTTCCTGCGGAGATAAAGGGGAGGATTGGCGCCGGCCGAGGGTGTAGATCGGCAAGGGGGTGAAGGATATCAAGAAGGGTGGTGGTGGGGGGTTGGAAAAAGGACTGTAACAAACACAACTGACCCGGAAAAAAAAAAAAACCCATAGGGAATTAAAACAGAAAAGACAGCAAGATAAAACAGAGG